TGTTTGATGAATTTTGGTAATGTGTTTGAATTTTGGTAAATGTGTTTGATATTGTGGATGAAGATGATGAACCCACTGCCCCTGCATTTCGTAGTGAAAAAATACTAAACAGCTCACTAGGGGTAAATTGGTCATTTTCACCAGTTCTGTCATGTTCTGTCCTGTCTTACCAAACGCTGAACAGCTGTCCCGTCCTGTCCTGTCCCGTCCAGTCCTGTCTGCGCACCAAACGCACCCTTTAAGTACACACCTTTCCATGTACTCCAAAAATGGAAATATCATTCCATCTTTCACCCATGCATAATCCTGAACATATAACACCAAACTCCCTAAATTAATTTATAGATAATAATAATAAAATAAAATTAAAATTAAAAATTAGATTAAAGATTCATAGAAAAACTACCCGTGTTCCTCTCTTCGAATATCCATAAAACATCACACAAACAGTTTTAGGAACATAAGCCCTCAGTACAGAAGCAGGAGCTTCTTGTTGTGCATCAATCACGATCGCTGGCCAAGCTGGAAACCTGTTGGAGCATTTTGCCCAAACGACATCACCTGCATGAAAATCTTGAGCTCGATAAGGTTCCTTCCCTTTTGCATTCTTGATTGTCTTTCTCTCCTTCTCATGGCCATTGAAAATATTATTACCAATGGTAGTTGCAGACCTAGATGAACTAGTATGCGAATCTTTAAAACCCACATCCACTTCTACGCTCTGTTTCTTGGATACTAATTCCCTATCACAAAATGGAATTTTGCGCTTCTTTGAACTCTTATTACCATCACTATCATTCTCTTTCTTCCACAAATCTATAACTGAATCACTAAATCGCGATGGGCATACTGATACACGACCTCGAGAAGACTTCAGTAGCTGAATTGAACCCGAATTCGACTTCAAATCAACAGGAGTACATGGAATTCCAGTGCACCAAGCATTAACAACATTTTCATAATCAATAAAACAGGCTCCATCATCAGCATTAGTCGCGGTATCTGTTCTCCGTTTCTTGGTAAAACTCACAGAAGGGTAACGACGATTCTCATTCTCCGCCTTCTCGCCATCAATTTCCTCCAATTTGCAGCGTTTAATTTTCGGCATTTCTGATCTCACCATCTGTTCAATCATCGTCTTCCCTGACCGCAAAACTTATTCATCATTAACGATCTTCTCATGCAAGAAATCTCAATAAAAACCCTAACTCCCAGTCTAGTTTGGAGACTGACGAATCAAAAAACGTACCAAGATTTATAGATTCAGAAGGAAAGAATCGGAAAAGTTGGCAAACACCCACAAGCCAATATAATGGAATTCGATAATTCAGATAAATAAAACGACAAATGTCTAGACTCTCCGAACCAACCCGTTCGAATTGGGAATTATTAATTTATTCCCCAGAAAACCCAGCAATTCAATTCAACAAGAACATGCCAACCGAAAGACAAGAAACCCTAATTCATAGAATCGAACAGTAAAGACGACGAAAAGATTCAAGAACCCGATGCTAGACAAAACGAACGAAGTCTTGGATTCTGCAACAGAAATTTAGAAAGAATGTAAGCTAAAACGAAGGAGGACAGACAGGGATATGTATGTGTTTGTGTGTTTTGGCAGATACGAAGGAGGGAGATAAAGAAATAGGAATGGTTCTTTTTAGCAGTTGCATAGAACAATCAAACGATATGCTTCTGTCAGCGTGAATATAAAGGTTACAGAGACTTACAAAATTATCCCCTAACTATTGCTTATATGCAGAATTAGTCCTTTTACTTAAAACAATTAGGCAGCATTTAGTATGCAGACGTGATTGAGCTTCGATTTTGGGTCCGAAATAGACACAAAACCCGATTTTTCCAACATATACATGTAATAAGCACCAAATTAGAATCCAGAACAATGCAGAAGCAGGTGAGCTTAGATACAAAAGAGAGTCACGGAAACAAACAGTTGGATTAAAGAACAAGAAAATTACACTCAAGCCACCCAAAAAAACAGGTAATACAGCATCCTCAAAAGTAATAAGCATCAATACACCTACCATTTTTCCATAACATATCACAATCTCAAACAATTATCTGCCTATCTGTACAAAACTCTGTTTCTTCAAAAACCCTTTAAACACAAAGGCTTTTTGCCTTTCTGTATCAATCAATCCTTACCATCTTCTAAAACACTTCTTTCTTGGCTCCACTTTCTAGTTTCATGAAATCGAAATGAGTAGTACTTTTAGATTCTTGTGTAAATATTCACTGGTGCCCAGGATCCATTTGGAAATCTGGATTCGGAGGGAACTTGTTGGCGGGTGTTTTCAGTTTGAATACTTCTAGAACAATAGACATAAGTATGATCGCGGCAAGAAGAAACCCGTAACCTATCTTCCATGAACTTCCAGCATTAGCAAGCTGTATCCCTAGTAATATATTCAGGGCTCCAAAAAAGAGAGCAATTCTCCCGACGTTATGATGGTACCAGTTCCAATACTTTCTGTTCTTACTGTCTTTATCAGGTCTTATGAAGAATGCCATAACCTGCAATGTAATAAGAAATCATAAGAAATATCTAGCTATACACAAGAATGTTTGGATTCTGGTGAGAATGAGAGTTAAGTAAGTACGGATCTTCATCCTTGGATTCATTTGAGATTAAAAATGATCAAGGGTCCAGATCCCTTCTTATGTCTCTCATCTTTTAACTTTTCTTCTCACACGATCCTTCATCTACACAAGAATGCCTAGAAAGCTGTTAGATGTCGGTGGATTGCGGTCAATTTGCTAAATAACCCATTAATATACCCATCAACCTTCTAGTTCTTTCTAGGATTCTGTGCTGAATTTGGATTGAAATTCAGTCTATTTGACCTCAAAAAAGCAATCTTCACTGATGGGTAAATGGGATTTAAACCTGGAGAACACTGAGCACGATGGCTGTTATTCCGATGCCTTTGTGTGCAGGCGCATGGAAGCTGAATCTGTTATACATACTTAATCCAAGAAATCCTGTGGTAACAGCGAATATGAACCCGACAAACTGAAAGGCTACGTGCAGATAGTACCATAACGGATCCTTGTGCTTGAAGTATCTGGCGACGATAGCACCATACGGCAGTATTAAGCCCCAACTTAGCAAACCCAATACTCCATGAGTCGTTTTTGATCGATGGAGATTGCTAGGAGGCTTTCCTGAACTTGATGTTGATCCCGAAGAACCTGAGGGGAAAAGAGTAAGACCACGTTTAAGTGATAAACTCTAGTTAACAAACGTACCTTTGGAGAAATCAAAGTTGATGGTTGTCTTGTCCTCATGAACGGATAGGAGGTGGTGTTCAGGGTACTTGCTTGAGAAAGCCAACAAAATCGGTTGTGTTTTGAGTTGACTCGGGTACTTGAGTTGATATGCCAAATGAATCTTTGCACCATTAACCGTGACAAACGGAGGAATACCCGTCAAGGGCAACTCGCCCTTGTCGTGTTTGACCTGCGAGGGATTGAAGCCCTCGGCATAGTATTGTCTAATCACTGGATTACCCTTTCGGGTAATCCAGCCGACCATAGCACTCGAGTTAAGCATCATGCCATCCTTCGAGAACCCCATTGCAACATATCCACTTGTGTAGGTTGCTGATAATACAATTGTCACAACATTGTCTTTGCTCTGGGAGTACTGCAAAAAGAAGTCAATGAAGCCACGTCATATATATATGCAAGGAATCGAACACATAAATCGCCATTGAAGGAAATGGAAGTTACTTACCCGAATAATGTATGAGTTCCAGACAGGTTTACACAGCATATGTGTCATATTAGCATAGGGAAGAGGAAGAAAAGCGTTGATGTCCTCATTGCATTCATCGGCAACCACCACGGAAACAACTGCAAACGACACAAAAACAGCGAAAATCCAGAATCTAGAAGCCGAAATCATATCTAATTAACAATGGAAGAGAAATGAAATGAGAGTGAGAGTGCAGAAGACGCAAAAGTGATCTAAGAAGAGAGAGAGATAGAAATGGAGTGGGTTGTGATGATTATGTCAAGACATTTCTTGGGTCTGAAGCTTGGTTGGTTGGTGAGTGATCATCCTCACGTCGTAATTTTCAAACCAGTTTTCGATATTTCACTTTTAAGATTTTTAATAAAATTTGCAATATTTTCATGTTTCAGATGTTTATCCATGCTCATAAGAAAGTTTAGGTTTTTAAATGTAGATGTCTTGGCCAACTAAATGAAATGTATGAACTCTTGAAAAGATTAATAGTATCTTCAATAAATTTTTTAAAATTTATTGATGATTCAAAACTCAAATTTTCAATATATATATACACACACGCATACATATATAGAGAGAATTTGTTTCGAATGCAACTTATCGTATTTATACAACCAATGCAACCTAATAAATTGAAATATCTCTGAAAATGATGAGAATTCGTTTATTATGACTTAAATATTTATGGAAGATGAATATTGTTCATTAATTATGATCAATACTTTACATTAGGAAACAATCAAAACTTTTATGAAATTACATATTCATCAAATTAAATGGACGGTTGAGATTGAGTTGTATTGGTTGTACAAATGTAAGGGGTTGTATATAGTCAAAGGTTATTTTGAGAAATCGTAAAAAATTGAGAAAAAGAAATAATCATATGCGTTCAAGATCGGATTTGACTGGTCAATAATTGCGGCTTTTAACTGATTAATAATTGTGGTTTTCACTGGTCAAAAATTTTCTGCTATGTGTAAAATAGAGAGGGCAGTTTAATAACTTTTACAAATAGGCAGCAAATGAGTTCATATATGAACCAATGTGATTCACATATGAGTTATTTTAAGTGATTTACATATGAACTCATTAATGTGATTCACATATGGAGATTCTTTTATTTGTGTAAATTCTCTCATGTTTCTTCATTTTGAAGAATCAGAATCAGTTGAAGATGCTCTAATACAATTACAATGTCACCCGATCTTTCATTTTAAATGGTATATTTATAAAAACAACATATTTGTTTTTATTTTCGAAAATAAAAATGTATTGTATTTATTTCCGTTATCGTAAACACAGCCATCCTCGTGGTTAGTTTTGTAAAGATGAGCGAGCATTTATTTGTAATACACAAAATCGAATACTTTCTTAAAACATATCGAAATGCTTAATAACTTGCATTTCTGATATAAAAATTGAAAAGTTATTGTGTTGTGGTGGCATGGCATCACAATTGAGCATTGCGTAAAAAGGGACAGCTTTTGAGGTCAAGGGTCACCACAAAGTTGGTTGGGGGCTTTGGAGTTTGCTTCAGTCTTAACTTATTTCTTTTTTCATACAAATCATTATGTTTCAAATAAAAAATAGTCCAAACTCCAACAACGGCAACATTTAAATGCAAGAAAGTGAACTTTTATTTCACAACGTAATTGTATACGGAGGTTGTATTCTCAATCTCGTCACATTCTTAAATCTGTTAGAAGGTTTTTGAATCGTGGTCATTCAACTAACGGAGTTTAAGATGGCAAAGGATGGATGTATGATCATCGTGTTGATTGAACCCAAATAAGCAAACTAGCATGCGCCGACAAAATTTCAATTTACGAATACTAAGCAATCAAAACTGTGAACCGTGCAACTAAGATGAGCACGGAGGGAGATGCAAGCAAAAACGATTTGAAGAGTTGGGCATATGCCGATGGTCAAAGAATTGTACGCCTAGGAGTTTGACCTACTTGGCCCAGATAACTTCGTCTATCTCGGACTGTGCAGCTCGATACAATTCCAGCCTCTTGGATATGTTTTGACGCCTTTCCGTTATCGCTGGATCTTCATCCAACAATTTACCCAATTGTCTTCCCTGCAAACCCAAAAACATAATAAAACAACATAACTAAGTATTAAATTGAGTGCAAAGAAAAAACCTTTTAGTTACAGTCGTGAACCCCAGATTTATCTTTAAAAGAGCCTTTGAGAAGAGAATGAAGATTCCAACATATACCGAGAAGAAATGGTCTAAGTCTATCCGATGTGGGACTCTAACTAACCCCCTCCAACGGAAGCTAGACGGGCACAAACTGTCCCGGTATTTTGAGAGGGGTCTAAACAAGCATAGATTTCCCCCTAGTGTTGAGTTCTAGAGTGGTAGACCTTGGCTCTTACGAGAATATGTGAAACCTCCAGATAAAATTTTCGTTTACAATCTGAAACTTACCTCCTTCGCCCCCAACTCAGTGAAGAAATGATCAAGTAAGCTACGTTTGGCCTCACGCACTTGACAATACACAACGGATTTCGGGATGGAGTGTCTTAAAGTTCCAACCACCATATGGACATAAGACAGAACAGTTGATCCTGTTTTTATTACAGAAAAAAGGTTAGTTTTTTAACATTTTTCAAAATGCAAGTTTGTGGGATTTGATGGCATCACAAGCAATGTCATTGATACATACCAACTCGACGAAGATAAGCATCATTGTATCTATCGAAAATCGAGTGTGTTGGATTTCCACCCTTCTCGATGTCATGTGGAAGCTTCCGGAAAAAATCAACTGTCAAGTAACTACACTCCATATCAACTAGCTGTAAAGTAGCTCTCTTGCTTTCATCCCTCATTCTATCTAATGATTCACAAGCTGCATTCATAACCTCCACCCTAAGGGAGGGATATTGTTTCAACTCCTACACATTAGCACCAGCAGCAGGTGAGACACATAAAAAGAATTATGATAATTTTGTAGACATATACTCAACATGTAGCATCTGTTTTTTCTTCAAAACCATGCACACGGAAAACAGTACCCCCTTTGTCTCATGAAAATTAAAACAGTCGTCTTTTCTGAGATATCCCACCAAAATTTCAACATTTCCTTTCTCCGTGACAGTTTCAAGTTAAAAGGTATGTATTTACCCCAATATCATCATGAGCAATTATTAATAGGACCTGTGATATTTGACAATTACTCAAACACATACCCGTCTAAAATAGTAACATGTGTCAAGTATCAAAATTTCCTTTGACGGAAGCTGAGTATGAAAAGTGAGATGCAGAAGCCTGTCACATTGGCGTGACAATTTAATCTCTGAAGTAGGACATCTAAGCATTTGTGCATACGATGAAATCCACCACCGACAAGCTCTACTATATAATTTTGAATGCAGATATATTCCAATTTTCCGATAGAATTGGGTATTTGCACACAGAAAATCAAGATATTGTTATCACAAGAAGGGTCTTGATTATTGACTAACCATGGTCTCATTAATTGACTTGTGAACCAGATCCTTCAGTATACCATGAACCTGAAACCAATAAGAAAGACTGCTATGAATGACGAGTGCTTCACTTGTTTTCTAACAGATACGTCAACAAATAGTATACCTCATTGCAAAAATAAATGGAAGACTAGGCCATTCAGAAATATGTCAGTAAGATTGCACTCCACTTGTTACGGAATATATGCGACATTTCCCTTTTTGATGAAGTTTCAATCCTAAATTACCTCTATCKACCACCAAAGGGCCATTGGCCTACGAGTATCCAGGTTAACGATAGAGACCAACCTCCATGAGGTCAAGGGTTCAAACTTCACCAAAGGTGATGAGGGTGCGTGAGTATTTGCGGTATATATTATATACTTTAAAGATATACCTCTGTGGAAGTAGGAGAGTGAGTCGTTGTTGACCTAAGCGGTTTCAGTCACCCATTTGTAACCATTACAGCCTTATAGGATCTTCACAGAAAAAGCCGCTCTATTCTTTGGGGTAGAGATCTCGTTTGCATACATCTTACAGTCCCAGACCCCACCTAAGCCGGGATATACTAGGTTCATTTGGTTTGGTTTACAAAATATTCATAGTTAAAATCAACTTATTCTAGTTCAAAAGGGTTCTCTATGTGGTTATTTTAATGAGTACTTTGTACATTTTTTATATGGACAGACATTTTCATTAATTAATCTGTCTAGGTAAACATTGTATATATTTTGGAACAGGAAAACTGAACGTCAATATTTTTATGCATTTGAGCATCATAGACCAAGAATTCGTGTTGGGTTACAATGAGTTAGATTGATATAATCTGGGCATCAATCCAGACCAAACAGTTAATTTCAAGAAGATAATATGTGACTCTCCAACTACCTCTCCAACTACCATAAAACATTCAGTTTCGAGATGTTTCATCTAAAACATTCAAAACAGAGGTAGACGTTTTAAAGATAAAGTAGAACTAACGTAGAAAACCAACTTATTAATATAAGAAAATCATGAATAGGTACCACATCAACAACCGCCTCAGCAGGACCTTTGATGGTAATTAAGGTTGATTCAATAAGACGGCGATATCCTTGTTCAGGGGCTATTAGATGAGGCTGATATCCATCGGCTTCAGTAATTAGCTTTCTCACATTATCCATGGAAAGTTGCTTGTCGAACTGTAACCTTTTCAAAGCAGCAGGAAGTTGATTATCAAACACACCATATACTTTGTCACCACCTGGTCGTCTGTAGAGGACAATTGTCAACAGTTACCAACATCAGAATAAGAACATCAAATTAACCAACTATCGTCTATCTTGATTGGTAGTCAAGCTTTCATTTCAGTTTCCTCACACAATTAGACATCGTTTGACCATTTAAAAAAATGTAGAATAAAAATATCAAATGCTTGGGTATTCGGGGAAGACAACAAGCTCCATCAAGTACATACATGCCATCAAGATGTTCTTTAAATGTCTGATCAAAAGCACGGCATATTTCCATAATCATATATAACTTTCCCTGCAAAACACAAAACAGAAAAACCCAAACATAGAGCCAACATCTTGCACAAAAGGGCAAACCAATGATAACTATCAGAATTCTTCATGAAAATAAATGAAAAACAAGTATATTTGGGACATGCTTACTCCGGCGTCAGTAGCAATAGGCTTTCCAAGACGGCTTAATTCTGTTTCAAGGTTGATGATTGTTTTGCTGATGAGAGACTGAAGACCTGGGATTCGAGATTTAATGACAGATTCCAAATGCTGAAATAATAATCATGTAGTCAGCAAGTTATATATCTTTAAACTAAACATCTGCTCCCCACAATGGAACACATAATAAGAAACTATGAAATAACAAGACATTCAGTAAAAACAGAATCCAACTTAGCGTAGACTGCAAAAAGATTATCATTTCTCCTGAAGAAGATTATCTTACCCTGGAAAGCACTTTCCCAAGATGCTCAGATCCCATTCTGTTAGCAAGATGTTGATACTCGGGAGAATTAGCAAAGTACTCCCGCTCCCTCCTCCGAGCAGAAATCATGTCAACATTTCTATTAATATCAGCTTGAGATCGGTTAACAACACCAATCCAAGGAAATTTCAGCCTATATGATCTTCCTTCCAAAATCTACAAAACGAAAGGATGAACCATAGTTAAAAACTCCGTGTTTATTCAATGGGGTTAATAGTAGATTAAGAAACATATCAGGCAAGTAACAGAGTTAGGCCCCACTCGTTTATCCCACTAATCTTTACTTCAAAATTTTGTCAGTAGAAAAAAGAACTTTTTGTTTTTTAAAGCATCTTTATACCACCCATGCTAGTACAAAATGATAAAGTTTACATACAGTTTTAAGATTTCTACAAAATGATCCAATATGTGGTAATTTTCTTTCAATTTCCGTTCTCAATATGCGGGTCCCATTTCCATGATGTTAGAATAGAGGGAGTATTGGGTTTTATCTGTTATTCAAGTTGCGGTCAGGATTTGGTAGTCGCCTCAGCAGTGGATACTGGGTAGTGGTCCAGGGGATAGAATTTTGGTTCAGTTTGATGGTATTGTAGTTGATTGGTCCATACTATTTCAGTATGTCTCCTTTTCTGTATGAATAAATTTTCGACCATTTCAAAGAAAAAAAATAAAGAGAGATAGGATACAAAATATGAAAAGATTGGGAAAAAGAATGGAACCCAAATATTTGAAGTGGAGAGAAGTGAAATTAGAATACTTCTACAGACAACAGTCTCCTTTCACACCGACAATCTAATATCGCGGCAAAGGATTGAAGGGCACCTCATATTTTCTCCCTCAGTGCAAAAGAGAAGGATCACATAGAATTACAAATAATTGAATTGAGTGACTAATACTAATCCATCTTAAGATAATTCTTCTACTTACGTAGGTAGAACGAAGCAAACACATTGTTTGCTATAGCTATAGTAATGATGAGAATTTTAACGTGCAAAATTGAAGATTTAACAAAACATATTGACTTATGGTCTAAGGGTACCCTTTCCTCCTAAACATTGTTTAGAAAGTAAAAACAAGAACTCTAAAATTGGCGGGAAGAAGATAAGAAAAGGCCAAGGGTTCTCAAATACCCTAAAGGAACAATTAAGTGAACGGATCATAACGCCACTGTTCACTGCTAAAGGGGAAGGATATCCATAAACAGCTTTCTTTAAGTATACAATATTTATGTATGGCAAATGAATTCACGCACCCTCCTCACTTTTGGTGAGGTTTGAACCATTGACCTCCTGGGAGTCCAGGCTCTACCGGTAACCTAGACACTGCTAGGCCAAAAGCCCTTTGGTTAAACAGCTTAAGTTAGTACTCCATGCATCCCATTTTGAATGTCATGTTCAATATTTTTGAAATTCAAATTGATGTCATTCTTTTGTAGTTTAAGAGTGCTTCTTTATAGGTTTAATATAGTTATTGTTGTTTGTAAAAAATAAATCACTTCCTAACATTTTTGTGTTGAAAAGCAGTATGCAAGACAATTAAAGATCCAAGTATTATTTGGGAATTATATGATCAGGCAGAAGGAATAATTCCTAGTTGGTAGGTCTCCTTGGGTGCTCATCTTTAGAAGAGTATTAAAAGATTAAGACAGAAGCCTTAGAAGTCACTCTCCACCACATCATTGCATTTTAGTAAGCAGGATACTAAGTATCACACATGAAAAGGAAATATACAAGTCATATTCACTCAACAAATATAAATTGTAGGGTCAATGCCTAGCTTACTTCAACCGCATCAGTACCCTGGTCCATAAGATCAATCTTTGTCAAAACTCCAAAAGTTCTCTCCCCTGTGTATTTTCATTGTAACAAATTAAAACTTCCAAGTAACAAGGACACAAATCAATCAAAATATCGCAAACAAATACAAAATTAAATGCCTTTGAGTGTATGGGGATAGTATATTACCTTTTGGATCCACTTCACGAGCAATCTTGATAGCATCGGATGTTGCAAGATCTTGGTTGGCAGGAGAAACTGCCAGAATAATGCAGTTAGGCTGCAAGAAAAGAAGAGGCATAGAGTTCAATACATAACCCCAGGAAACCAACTTTCAGGCAGGGGAGGATGCACATTAGGCTTGTAGGGGTCAAAGGCCTGCAACAAGATGGTTACAATTGCTTAAAAAATATCTTTTACCTAATGTTTGCTATTGGGACCCCAACACCAAAATAAAAGGGCCCTCATCTATGATAGAAGCCTTACTTTTAATTGGTTCAATCTCACATTCTCTCATACTCACACGGTAATAAACAATAGCTCAACTCAGCACCTACCTACTTCTCCTTATAACTCAACTCGAACCTAATGTTTTAACTTTTCAACGAGCAATGTGTTTATTTGTTTAAAGTGTAAATTGTACAGGAAACATATAAATAATAGTATAATGTGTCGGTTTAACCAAAACAGTAAAAAAAATTTAACTGAAAATCGAACCGAATAAGTTATCTTTATTCAGTTAACTGAACCATTTAAGCTGAAAATGAAAACCCGAAACCTTTTTTGGTTCGGACGAATTGTTCGGTTTCGAAAAAATTTCGACACTCCTAAGTGTGCCCCCAACCATAATAATTTCTAGATCCGCCACTGCTTTCAGGTATCCATGAATGGTATGGGTGAGACGAGCTACAATTTTCAAGAATAAATCTAAGATATGAGGGATATTAGTACCGCTGCAGGGTAAGGGTAGGACATTGAAAATAAATACTTCTCTTCTTTTCGGAAAATAAGATTTGGGCCTCTTTCCACAGAGTTATTGCTTTAACATGTTTCCAAAAATGATGATGAACAGCAACTGTGAAACAAGGTGTCACTCAAAAACAGATAGCCTTCCGTAAAAACAATATACCTTCTCAATATAGGACCGCACCATGTTTTCAATGTCTTGCACGACGCTATCCAACTGACCCTCTACAGAAATCATATAGGTGGAATAGATGAAGTAATCACAGCCAGCAGTTTCCGAAAATTGCAAAAATGCATGATGTAAACTCACCAATAGCTACTTTTGTCAGACCAGGAAGGTCAATCAGGGTCAAGTTCACAACTGTCAAAGATCAGACATAAATCAATGAGTTGCTGTAATCAAGAGCTGCAATACGCTATTTAAGGGAGATAACCAAAAAGAAAGGCAGCTTAAGCATATTAGTAAAGGACACAATTGGTACATATCACCAATAAGGAACATGAATATTAGTCTAAGTATTCATATGACTACAGAAAATAACGGCATAACCAACAGTAAAAGCAATTAAAAGCTTCCATACACTATTGATAAAAATTTAAAATTCCTTCATGTAAATTTAAATCCAGACAGGAGCTACTTGAAGGAGAAAAGGGTGAATAACAGATAAGATGATTATAAAACATAATGATATCTCACCATTAGGAGAATAGATACTGAGATATATGGGAACAGATGAAATCTGTTTGCTACGACCTGTCTCTCGGTCAGTCTCGTCAGCAATCTCCTTCCTGACAGCGTCTGCACAAGATAAAAACTGTGAACTTGCAACTTATATCGAGTGAAGTGACAGATAAGTTGGTGGAAGATAGAAGAAGCAATGAAAAAGTTGCCTGACCCTATAACTTCACAGGTTTATGCACAACGATTGAGAAACAAAAGCATAAATCAGTTAGTCATACCAAAATCAGTGAACCTCTTTCTTGGTAGGTGAGCAAATTCTGCATATTCTCTTCCTTCCTCAATCCTATGAAGCTGCAGAACAAGAGGGCGTCGTGTAACAATCCCTGCATATAAATATTTTCACTACTCTAGTTAATCATATTTGGTATGTGAATGCCATAGAAGATGATAATATGGGATTTATTCCAAAATGCTGAATCAAACAATTGGAGAACTAATTACCAGAACCACGAGGCAAAAAATCCTTTCCAACAATACTCTCCAGCACAGATGATTTTCCAGAGCTCTGAGAACAATTTATGCAAAGTGGAAAACAAAACACACTATGATGAGTTTATGTCCACACAGAGACTACAGTCAAACATTTTTAACTATGTAATCATTTCCACAAGTCACAACATAGACAAATGGAAACTCCTGGTTTATCAAAATGGTAACAGATACGAATAAACCTCTAATCAACAAAAAAGATATATTAACTTGGCTCTTAACCAGACCCAAGCTCAAACTGAGTCTGAGACAAACTTCTGATATGAATGGATGCAAAGCACATATTTTACAGTAAAATTTATGGAACTCCAAACACTTGACCTCTTCCATTGACAAAATAATCATACCTGTTCACCTTTGATTTTGAAAGTCGGACTATTACTGCTCAAATAAAAATTTGATGTAACATTTTTGGCTTTCTGGTGTAAGAACATAATTACCATCATAGATCTTGAATTAGTATAATAATATCTTTTAGTTGATACTTCATACTTGTTAATTTCCAAAGTTAAAAATTAACTTGATACTAAAAAGTGATATATTGATTTCTTTTTTGGATAAAAGAAGTAAGTAGTAGTTTAATACAACAAAGAAAATGACAAAAACAAACTATGATGGCTCATTAATCGGTACTCCATGGGACCATGTCAAATTTTGTCATTCCATGACCTTTCTATTTCATTATTTTTCTCATTTCATTCTTCGACTACTCTTCTAGTTCCATTTCATCCAAACCCAACAAGAGTGCAAGTATATTTAAGCTGAGTCAAACAGAATTACGCTAATAGATGGTCGCAAATGGAGTTAGGTCTAAGATTGAAGTTGAATTTACCAAATTAAGACGTATCAAGAACACATAAGCATAGATCAACCAAAAAAATTATATGCGAAAAATGAATTCGTTTCAAGAAGCATCAAAGAAAAATATGATGACAATCTGTAAATATACCTGACCGCCGACGACAGCGATTGAAGGCAACGCATCCCAAAGAGTGGGAAGAGAGGATTCGTCACCGAAGTCACCTAGGGCTGTGCATGCTTTCTGTAGTTTGTTGACGAGATTAATTAGAGTCTCCATTAATTTTCGCTGAAGAAGTTGATTCAACAAGAGTTTGTGAGATAATAAAATCCGATTAGGGATTTGAGAATTTACAGAGATAGGGGGAGATCAAAACAAATTCTAACAGCAAAAACGAAAAATGGGAATTTTTTTAGTTCGAAGTTTTGTAGAAGAAACGCAAAAGCTGAAGGGCGCGTATGCATGTCCACGTAGGCGCGTGTCTTCTGCATTTCCCAAATTAACTGACAACCAATGATCTTCAGCCACGTGTGTTATGAAACTTCATATACCAATAGGAAAGTAAATTACAAAAATCTTACATGTAGTTTATGAAAACTTTTAGGTTTCGTTTAGCTAAATGATTACCGGGTAAGCGTTTACCGTTAGAAGTTAATATTATAATTTATTTTATCGGGTAAGATTGAAATACATCAAAATGATATTGTATGCAACAATTTACCTGGTAAGCACTTACCCGGGTAAAAGTCATCACCTTCACTTACCGAGTAAGACTCTTAGGGGATGTTTGGTAGGCTCTTAATGGTTACATTAAGAGCCAATCGCTGAATCGGTCAGAGGTTGCGTGTGTTTGGCAAAAAAAAACAACCTCTTAATGGTTACAAACACCTCTTAACCATTTTGCACCTGGTGCTTCACTCAACCATTCAGACATCATTTGTTCCATCTTTACCCCTCCCACCCCTCTCTTCCAGCGTCGCCTTCACCGTCTCCATCCAGAGTTCACGTCGCCTTCCACGAGTTCACGTCGCCTTCCATCTCCGCCTTCACCGTCTCCATCTCCGGCCACCTGCACCGTCTCCATCTCCGTCTCAAATCATAGAACCCAAAAATCAAATCATAGAACCCTGCACCCCTCTCTTGTTGGTCACCGGAACAATCGATCGAAGCTGGCGACGGAGAGGGATGGCAGAGGCGGAAGGCCTGAGCGGCGGCTAAGGCAGGCGACGGAGAGGGATGGCAGAGGCCGAAGGCCTGAGCGGCGGCGACGGAGGGGAAGGCCTGAGCGGCGGCGACGGAGGGGAAGGCCTGAGCAGCGGCGACGGAGGGAAGGAGAGATGGTAGGAGATGAAGGGGGCGAWGAAACTGGAATGTATATACATATATGATTTTTGTTATTTATAATTTAATTTAAATTATTTAATATTATTGAGGGTTAAAATGGTAATTTGTTATCATTCAGAAAACATTTACCAAACAACCATATTTCATTCAGCACTTAACCATTCTGACTCTCTTAGCCATTCTGACCTCTTAACTATTCTGCACTAAATCATTCAGCAACTGCCAAACAGCCCCTTAATCTTTATCATTGTTCTTACCGGATAAGATTTTTGACCCTCGTCATGTTCATCTGGTAAGGAAAGTTACCGGGTAAGCATTTTCCATGTAAATGTTTAGTAAACGACCCCTTACTCAACTTTTAGAAGTATACAGACATTTTATGGTTTTCAATTTGTTATGATTTTTGTCTTTGCACATAACGCTCGTTACTCCTTTTAGTTTAAGCGTCTATATAGCTATGTAAGAGGGTAGTGGTTTTTTTTAGTGTTTCTTCTGACTTTGTCATCTATGATGCTTTTTGACCATCTGGGTTGTAGTCGTTATCGTTTCTTTTGGTCATAGTCTCTATATCTCCTTTGTTTTCCCTTCCCCATATGTCCTAATAAAATCGTAAGTATAAACTTGATTCATGCCTATATGAAATTGATATGGGTTTGTTCATTTTTTTTAATTTATAAGTTTGTAGTAATTTGTTTTCAGGTTAATTTTAGGAGTGCGGACCTTGTCAATGAATATGGTTTTGTTTCAAGTGCTTTTATGTTAATCATAGTCAAGGTTTATTACTAAATTTCGTTAGGATAAAACCGTTGGTACCATTATGGGTCTAAATATATCAATAACAAAAAATCCAACACGTATAGAAGTCCAATGCATAAGCAGATGCAAATCCCTTATGGTGGAATGGTGGTGGCTAGCAATTGGTTCTTGTTGAAACTCTTCTTTTATACACAAGCATACTTACCCGCACAAGGGTAGCTAAAGCGGAGGGTGGTCACAAGGGTATTATGTGAGAAGAAAGTCCTGATGAAGTGTGAGGGTCAAAGGAGTGAGAAGGAGGAATAGGTCGAGGTGGACTTGGTTGAGCAACTGAGGTTAGACATAGCGGCTATAAACATTACTGAGAACATAGTCTTTGATATGACTTATTGGAGTCGCAAGATTAGGTTAGCGGACTATGAATGGGAGTTTGTAGCAATCCAAGATGAGAGGAAGAGATCGGGCCTAAGAGTTATACATCCTAAATTGTAGGTTTCACTAAGGGTGTGTAATTTCCAATATGAGTTATGTTTTCCTACACATGTTTCCATTGTATGTTTGATGGAATTTTGTTGCTTGCTTCTAAGTTCTTTTTCAAAATCTAGCATTGTTTATCGCACAATTTGTTTAAACTGTGGGTATTCATGAAAACAACCGAAGACTCTACTTTTTGTGGTAGAGGTTAGGTCTTCATACATCTCAGTCTTCTCATACCCCACATCTGAATAGGATATATTAGAGGTGTTCATCCAAACCGTCAAATCACATTAACTGCCAACACCGCAACCGCAAAGCGCGGTTTAGAACTTTCGTGGTGCAGTTTGCTATTTGGTTTTTTTTTTACCAAACTACACTATGTGATGCGGTTTGAGGTTTTGAGTTATCAAATTGCGGTTCAAACCGCACCGCATATTTTATACATTTTTTAATTTTATATATGTAAAACCCAAAATTTTAAATATATAAAAATAATATTGTACGAGTCTCTTAAATATTGTTTTCTTATAAATTTATTTGAAATACTAAAATATTTATGTGATTAATGGAAAAAATAATTGTAGAAATCTTAAAATAAGAAATGAAAAGAAAGGCAAAAGGGAAAATAAAATAAATTTGGTTTTTATTTTATTTTATTGACCAAGAATGTAAATGAATGAGTTAAGATGGATCAAATCTGTCACTTAATTAAAGTATTAAAGGTTTAAATTTGTTTTGGACTAAAAAAGTAAATTATCACGTCAGGTGGGGTTTGATTGTAAAATTTAGAAAGTCTAGGGGGCCAAACGTCATCTTTTTCAAAGATTAGGGACCTATTTTGACAATAGTACATGCATGTTTGTTGAAAACGACCTTACAACCAAAAACTCGTGATTTGGCCAAATTCTTCAACTAATAAGACAAAAATTTTGACATATAAATGTAGAGCAGTGCCTTCTGATTGTTTTCATTCAAATAGCTAGTAAAATCGTTGAGTTTTGAGAGAGAAATTTGAGTTTGAAGTTCGGAATAAAAAAAATCTCGGTTTTTCACCGATTTTGGATGAGATTATTAACCAAATCTCTTGATTTTTATGTCTATGACTTAAATTTTAAGTACTCTATCAAATCCCTGTAGCCTTATGTCTTATATTTGTGTTACGTGGTTCGATTTTTATTTTTTAAAGTTGTTGAGTTTTAGTTTTAAAAACAAAACGTTAAATCAAATCTTGGAACTCATTTTTTGACAATATGTCAAAATGTTGGTAAAAATATTATCAAGGGTTTGGTGCAAAAAGAATGAAGAAAAAACGTCAAAAAACGAGCCATTTTCAAGTTTGAAAAGCTCAAATACATGCAATCATGGCTGCTGCTTATTTGGGTTGCAATCAGGTTGGGTCAAGAAGCTGATGGCCCACGTCCGTTTATGCATTAAACGGAAAGGGGATCAATGGTCATGAAGATGAGATTCGAACTTGTGACTTCAAGCTACAACACCAACGCCTTAACCAACCAAGCAAACCCGTTATTTGCATTTTATTAACACGACATAATCTTCTCAGTCCATTATAATGCATTTACAAGTTTTAATAAATATCATTATAACCCCTGAAGTTCCAAAATATAATTTTCTCAAATATGATTTTCTTAAACTTTCATTAAGTTTTATTTGGATTTTGTAAAATGCAAACCTTGACCCAATTTCAATTATTTATTTCGTTTAGTTACCAAAATGACCATATAAATAGAAAATCGGTATATTAGCAATATTTTACGTACTTGCTTTATAAAAGTACCGAAATAATCTTATGTCTTGGGGATTGGTCTATAAGTTTCATGTTTATATTATTATTTTTACAAAATTACCAAAACAACCCTATACTTGAAAATCGGTATATTTGGATACTTTACGTATTTGTTTATAAAATTACCGAAATAATCCCATGTCTTGGGGATTGGTTTATAAACTTCATTTTTATATTATTATTTTTATAAAATTACCAAAATGACCCTATATTTGGAAATCGATATTTTAGCAATATTTTTACGTAGTTGCTTTATAAAATTACTAAAACGACCCTATGTCTTAGGCAATGATATATAAGTTTCATTTTGTATTATTATCTTTATGAAATTACCAAAATGACCCTATAATTTGAAAATCGGTATTTTATGAATTACTTTACGTATTTGCTTTATAAAATTACTGAAATGACCCAATATATTGGAATTGGTATCTAGGCCTTGTTTTGATTATTATCCTTATGAAAATACCAAAATGACCACACAATTAGGGAATCAGTATTTTAACAATACTTTGAGTATTTGCTTAATAAAATTAACCAAATTCCCCTACGCTCTGGGATTGGACTTTTAAGAACTGTTTTTATATTTGACTTATGAAATGTACCAAGAAAGTTCTAAATTAGAAAATTTGGTTAAAGTTATACCATTGGTATTCGGCTTCTTAAGATTACCAAAATGCCCTAAGACTTGAAAAATTGGTATTCTAATACATTGTTTATACGTGCATGTGATCATGAAGTCTATTGTATTCACTAAGCTTTTAGCTGATATTATAATGTAAATATCTCAGGTATCGGTTATCATTAGATAAGTTGAATGAAAAAAGACGGAACTATGTTTTGAATCATGCTTGGGTAGATATTTTGATTAGCATTAATTACGTTAAAGTATTTTACGTTTACGCAATTATGTAATGAATTATGTTAAACGCCTTATGTATATTTGAAATTTTTAAGTTTTTATTTTGTTCATGTCATAAGTTATTAAGAATGACATAATAACACTCGAAAGAAAGCAAAAAAAATCGGGGTGTCACAAGTTAGCAAACCTCATCGGGTATGATGAGTCCTCGAGAGGGGGTGTTTGTAACATCTTAGGCGAATCCCACATTGCCGATGACAAGGAGGAAGATTTTGGGCAAGCCTGACGAGGATGTCAGAAGTTTAAGTGGGTGAGTTTGTAACAACTCGTCCCACATAGATAGAAAGTGAGAATTGTTAGCTCCTTATAAGTCCCAAGTAATGGGCTACCAATAACTTTCACCATGATTTTTAAGTTGGATTTGAAGTTACTGGGTCAGTCTGTTACTTTGGGCTTTGAGGGTGTTACAATATATAACACACACAAAAACATATATATATATATATATATATATATACACACACACACACAAATATATATGTAGAGAGAGAATTTATTATTTATGTAATATTTTTGGACTTTGAGTTTTGAACTTTGAGTTTGATCCAATATAGCAATTGACAACATTAATAAATTAGTTGGATATGTCACAACTCACACATCCACTCTAGTCTGAAGTTTTGTTTTACTTCTTAGATTATTTTTAATTATGCAATATGTATTTAAGAATCATATATATTGAAACTCTATGTTATTTGGATTATGGTCACTTTATCATTGATTTTATAATGTATTTTTTAAAATTATAATTATTGGATTGTAAGCATAAAGTGCGATAGGTACAAACATTATAAACCACACCGGACCGCACCACATTTTGCAGTGCAGTTTGGTGCAGTGCGGTTTGTGGTTTGGGAAAATGCTCAAACCGCATATGCGGTGTGGTTTGCGGTTTGACCAGACTGCACCAAACTACACCGCAAACACCCCTACGAAATACTGCGCTTGTTTGAGTTAGTTTCATTTATATACATACATCCCATTTAAAAGCATATGAAACTCGATTAGTCGTTTAAGGTAACTCAAGACACGTACACTTACCGACACTTATATGTCAAATATTCCTTGAAATCCCACACCGTCGTGCCAAGCCCCACACAACCATGTCATTTTCCTTTACATATATACTACATCATCATGCCAATTCCAAGCCACCTCATGCATAGTCGTGCAACTTGTAGAGTCCCGGTTCTAGATTTCGATTTCAACTGGTTCAACCCAAAATAACTCAAATTCACACCAAACTAACCAATCCATGTGCATGTAAACAATTGAAACATGTGTGATTAACACATATCACACATAATATTGGTTCAATGTTGCATTAAGCATAAAAATTGACTACTTTCTACCCAGTACTTCCACAACAACAAACATGTTGCTTTATCACCCAACTAATGATTTTAAAGCCTAACGTTGCCTATAAATTCAACACTAATGCACTACAATTATTGGCGTTGTATATCTCCACTAATTCTCTACATTTCCCTACCTAATAATGCATTTACCATGTTTCTATTGACAGTGATTTTTTTTGGTGAAAATCCGATTTACCAAGCCAAACAACCTTCTCTCCCCACCCCACCTGCCCCCACCCACCAAAAATGTTGCAATAACAATAAATACGAGATTAACATAAACACGTGTCAAGAACACGGCAAATGAAGCTAGACACAAATATGCATGACATGTTATATCAGGTCAACCGAAACATATCCTAACATGTTTTGATCTATCAACTAAAATTTACATATTCGACATGAACCAATTCAAAATTAATCACCTAATTTATCAGTTTTACCGCATATATTAAAAATGATGTTGAATAAAAGTTATCATGATATTAACATATTGTTTTGATTTGATTTATTACCAAACCTTAGACATCAAGTCACTTGGATTGCAATTATACCATGCTTAACAATAAATAAAAAATCAATCTAAGAATTCAACCATCACTTCTAGGAATATATTGTTTTTACAATTTACATTAAGTTATTTATCCGGTAACATTTTTGGTTTTTGTCTTCGTTTTTAACGGATAAGATTCTCGGTCCTTATCATATAAATCTGGTAAAATAATAATCTGATAAGCACTTATCAGATAAGTATTAAAAATGAATTTAAAATAATCCAATTCTTAGTTTCCACTAAATCATAGGAATATTTGTAGTCAAGTTATGAATGAAATATATATAATTAAAAAATGCAAAATAAAATTTATTTTGGTAGATAAATAAGAACACTCTCCCACACACTTTATCTCTTTTCCATTTTATGTCTTCTTCCTCACCCACTCTGGGTTGAAGGAAATTCATAGATTGAAGCCATGTACGAACCTCAAACCCACCACAGATCCAAAAGGGGCAACACCAATCTAGCTTCATGCATTGTAGCTACCATTTTCTTGATCCTTATCGCTGTAGCCGTCGCCATCGTCTACTTCCTCGTCTTCAAACCAAAGAATCCCAAGATCGCCGTCGACTCTGTTCAGTTTCCGACCTTTTCGATCTCCAACGGCACCGTCAACTTTACCTTCTTCCAGTTCGTCTCCGTCACAAACCCCAACCGTGACGCCTTCACTCACTACGACAGCTCACTTCAGCTTGCCTACTCCAATGCACCTGTCGGTTTCATATTCATCCCCGCCGGGAAAATCGACGGCGGCCGTACACAACACATGTCGGCAAAATTCGCCGTCCAGTCTTTTCCTATTCCTGCGAGGCCACCGCCGATGACAGCGGAGGCGGTTGGTGGAGCGGAATTAGGGATGGCAGGACCGACAATGGAGATCGAGACGAGGATGAAATTGGTTGGTAGGGTTAGGGTTTTGAAGATTTTCACACACAGAGTTGAGAGCGGGGTGAATTGTGGAGTTGCGATTGAGGTAAGAAGTGGATCTGTGTTAGGGCTTCATTGCTAGCGTTGATTTGTGCTGTTTTTGTTGTGATTTTGAATCGATCCTTAATTGTATATAATGATTGGAAGCAATTGTGGTTTAGATTAAAAGTCTGCTTTAATTGCCAACTCAAAAGTATGCCTAAATCGAACTCAAATTCCATTGATTAAGACAAAATTACAGAGGTATTCTTTACAGCTACAAGATCTGTGCATACGAAGATCCCTGTTTCAAATTTGAAAACAAGAATGATGATTCGAGTCCAGGTAAGATCTCAAATTCCTTTCCCTTAAATACCGGGTAAGATCTTCGGCTATCAAGATGATATAGTAAGATTGTTGGTAAGCATCTTGTCTCTTACCGGGTAAGATTCTTGGTTCTTGTCATACCCATTAAGTGCTTACCTAGTTAGCATTTGGTAAACGGCTCCTTATATGGGTCTTTCCCTCCTTAAAAGACGAAAACTTGATTTGCACATTTCGAATATGGTTGTCATAAACTTGCATTTGAAACAGATTAATGTTTGTCCTCAAATTGCTGAACTGGGGTTGGGAATGCATCATGAAATGAAACCAACCCAAAAACCCAAACTAAACAAAACGTGATCTAACTAGAGAGGTTGGGAATGCATCAGGGTTGGGAGGTTCTTTCCAAATACGACCAGTAACTCTCGAATTGAGCTCCCTCCAATCTCCTCCAGAGAAGAATAATAGAGGCATATTACGCTGTATTATGAGCCCGTCGTGGCTGTCCCTAACTCTTCTATGACAGTCTCGTATAATAGAGGCATATTACGCTGTA